GTAATAATTTTCAAATATCGGGCCCTTATCTGTAATTATTTTCATTTTGGGCCCTTATTTGTAATTATTTTCAATTTCGGGCCCTTATTTGTAATTTCCCCTAAAAATTATTATATGATCTTCACTATTTTTGTATTTCACACACTAACGGAACAGTTTATTTCTTTGAACGAAGTTTTCTTAGCAGCTACTTGCCCAAATTCGATGTTTTTTTTTTTTTTTTAATTCTATGAATTTATAGAATTAAAATAACACTTATCAAATTTAGTCAGATAGTGAGAAAAGTTTTAAAAAAAAAATCCCAAAGCATAATTTACTGATAGACTGAACAGATTTTTTTAAACTTTTCTCGATAACAATCAGACAAATTTAATAAAAGTTTTTTTTTTATCTTAATTGTATGCATGTGTAGTTAAAATAAAATAAGTTTTAGAATTTTGCCAGGTAGTTATTAAGAAAACTTCGTTCAAAGTTTTTAAAAAGATTGCAAAAATTGGTTATGCAGTGATTAAATGTACTATGTAGATCAAATATATGTATAGTCCCATATAAATAATTTTTTCGTATAACAATCACGATGATCTATACGTAGTAAAATGCTATTTGATTTAATATGAGCGGATCTATTTGTCACCGGCAGTTACAAAAACCTCAACATTTCAAATCAAAATAACTCAAAATTATGCCTATGAAATCAACTTCCGTGTCTTAACAAAAAATATTCCTTGCATAATTTTACTATAAAAGTATGACACTTTCTAACCCTAAATACTAATATAAATAAAATCCAAGTACTGTCACTGCCACCGACAAATAGATTATTTCAATAAATTAAATAAAAATTTAATAAAAAATTTTTTTTAAAAAAGCTCTCTTTTAGTTTGAAAATAAGATCTGCTGTGCCGTCGAGCAAAATTTTCAAACTAGTTAATATGTAATTTACGAAGGAGATACGACTTGAAGTTTGAAAATCTTATATGAAACGATTATAAAAAATTATCAAATTTCAAATCGTGTCTCCTCTGTAAATTACATATTAACTGGCTTAAAAAATTTGCTCGATTTCTTAACAGAACCTGTATTTAAAACTAAAAAAGAGCGTTTTTTTATTAATTTTAAGAAATTTCAATAATATTAATAGGAAATTTCTATTTATACCCCCCATTTTTGCTATTCATACTCCCTACCCATGTAAAAAAAAATTTTACCCAATTGTTGCATAACATAGTTGTATGTACGTACAAAAACAAAAATAAAATCCTCGCATAAATAATATCATGATTAAAGTACAAAACAGAATGATAATAATTAGTTATTCATATAGAAGAGGGTACAGATAGCAAAAATGGGAGGTATGAATAGCAATGCCCTATTAATAATTTTCGTTAAAATTTATAGCATTTTCTAAAAAATTATCTATATGATTTTTATATGGGACTATACATTTATTTGATCTACATAGTACCCACTCGACCTGTTACAATGTCCGATTCTGTGCAACAATCCAATTTTTTTAATAATATAGATCAATTTATAACTTACAATATTATTTTACTTTGTGTAAAAAAAAATGATTGGTTAAAACTTTCTGTGAATAAGCAAGCACATAACTTAATTAATAAAATAAGCTCGGAAGATCGGTTACTCTGGATTTGCAGATAAAATGATCTTCGGTGAAAGGACTTTCACGTACATGAAAAAAAAAAGATGCAAAAGAAGGCTACAGAATTAGAAGGATTATATTTAATTGAAGATTTTATTACAGAAACTGAAGAACAAGAATTAATACAAGCCATTGATTCAGAAAGCTGGTGTGGTAATGGTATTGCGTGTGTAGAAAATCTTTTCAATTTTTAAGTGATACTATTTAAATAGTCGAGACTAATTTTTTTTTTTAACTTCGAAAGTCCAAATCCTGAAATGAAAAGACGCACACAACACTATGGCTATGTATTTAATTATAGATATAGGTAACAGCTCAATATAATATATAAATTATTTATTACATCCAGTTTTCATCGAATTATCCAATTATAGGACAATAATGCAAAATTTAGGACCATTACCAACCTTCACCGATTTCATCGTCAAACGATTTAAACAACAAAAAATAATTGATTTCGAAGATGAACCAAAAACATGTATTATTAATGAATATGAAGCTGGGCAAGGTATGATTTGGAAACAATTTGACGCATTTAAAATCATAAAGTATGTATTCATTGGAGAATAATTTCGATGCATTATAGGAATAATGCCACACACTGACGCTACGACTATATTTGGGCCGATAATCTTGGCCCTTTCATTATTATCTTCATGTTTGATGAAGTTTACACATTCTACTAATTCCGAAACACAATTTATAATAGTATTACGTATATATTTGATCTAATAATTATTTGTAATTGAGGTTATTATGAATTAACTATAAATTTAACTATAAATATTTTAACTTCTTTAGCGCCAAGATCTTTGTTAATCATGACAAAATCTTCAAGATATGATTACAAACATTCCATATCAAAAGACATTATAGAATGGTTTGAAGATGAAAATGGAGAGAAACAAGAAATTATTCGAAACCGAAGAGTTAGTTTAACATTTAGAACTGTGCTTAGTTCTGCACTGGATGTGACCACAAGTAGAGTTTAGAACCGGGTTATAGTAAATCGGGTCACCCGTGTTAAAACGGTTCAACGGATCAAAAATTTACAACTCGGGTCAAAACGGTTGAATATGTAACCTCTAAAAATCTGCTACTATTAATGTACACAGAAAACATAACATTTAACACATTATTGTATTGTGAATAAACCTATACGGACTATCTATTGTTGTGAAGTTTTGTTAAAAATTTCCTTTGTATAAACCTTCATTATTATTTTCTTTACTTGGCTAGTATGTAATGCACTGTGTTCGACACTCGATAGTACCCCGAGATTCGGGTCACTTAACGTGATCGCGTTGCATAAAATTAATTAAAAGTCTAATATGTAAGTACGTACAGTACCTACCCGGATAGATTAGCGACTACAACGCACAATTTTTTTGTGGGAACGCTACCTAAAATCCAAAATTTAGGGTCGGGATAGGCTGGAATTGATAAATTTCTCCCAAAATCCCCCCAAAATTTGACTAAGCAAAGCTGCTCAGATGATAACTTTGCTGTAGTATAGTTGGCTTGTATTATTTTGGTCGATCTATTGAATTTTGGTTGCTTCACTAATCTATCCTACATATCTAATGGGTGTAATCGAATAATTAGACGATAATTTAATATATAAGTGCATTGATCATTTAGGCATTTTTGGCTTTAGGAAAATACTATCTTAATAGTATACTGAGTGCTTGTAACATTGTGTATGTTTTCTTGTGGTGCTTATTAGGTAGAAGTATCTAAACGATTCTCTAATCAAGTTAAAACATAGATCTCTCACACGAACAAGCTTATCTTGTTTCAAACACCTAATTAGCTTTAAAAAAAGAGACAACCGTTTTGTTAATACCTATTTTTGTTTTTGTGCATTTTAAAATTTAGACGTAGCTTTTTTTCTTTACCTCTTGCAGAAAGTCGTGTCTAAGCCAACCCTTCTTAAATTAGAGATTATTAGAGATTATTTTTAAAGTTAGCTTTCTAGCACCTCTTTGAAGCTAAAGACGATGTTTGTTAAGAATGGTTACTTGTGTAATGTTGCGTTCTTAAAAAGTACTCTAAAATATATAAATAAGTTACCCGGGCAATTGATTTGCATTAGCCAATCAGACTATGATGAATGATAACAATTAAAAACCAAAAATTTTTTATGCATTTAGAGTAACACGTCACTCTAGTTATGTCGACATCGATATCTGGTTTAAACTATATTCTTTTCTAACATCTTTATCGCCAAGCATTAAGTCGATTACTCTTAGCCACTTTGTGACTTTGTGTAAGATGTTAACATGACAAGTTATAAAGTTATAATTAATAATCTAGTTTTACTATCCTTTTAATAATTATAATAAATAATCTAAAGCTTCTAAGAATTTTTTTTTTTTAAAAAAAAATAAATAATCTAAGCATATTGCACAAACTAAGCTGAAGCATTTAATTAGCGAAAATTAATTAGTAAAATCCAAGATAACTAATTCAACTATCTAACCCATCGTTAAAAATAGCCGCGAAATTATCAAAATGTATGCCACTGTTATTGGTATCACTGTTTTCAATAGATCCATCTCCAAAAGATTTAAGAACGCGTACCAAATGTTGATAAAATCTTGTCATTTTTTCATCATCTTGCTTTGACACATGACAAAGATATGAAAAAAATTCGGTGGTATCTTGTTGATTATCGACATCTTGAGCCAATGACTAAATAAAATTATAAATTAAATAAATTTAATAATTAAATAAAATTTCACAATTTTTTAAAAATTCTATAATTATCGTTATACCGATTTTTTATTTGATCTCATTGTCCTATGACTATTACTAATATTGTTTGATACTGGTTCACCGAATGTGGAATTTTGACAAGCATACAACTTGTGCAGATTCTCTTGATCATCAAGTAATGGAACAAATCCAAGAACAGAAGCGGATGACCCATATTTTGATACCAAAGTTTCTTCTACTACTAATATACTGACTAATGCATCGTCTACACTTCCAACACTTCGAAGACATAGCTTAAAAATAGAAATGTGAATGAAACATTAAATAATACACAAATGATTAGTAAACAAACCATTTCTTCTCACCTTTGAATGACAACTTGCTAGGCGCAACAAAGTCTATGTTTATTACGGTGTCAAATAAAATATATAAGTTTATATTTTGTCAAAAATATTTATGAAATTACGACATTTCAGTTCTTTCATTATTGTACCTCAAGCAATGCAGTTGAAGAAGCAAAGCCTTGGCTAGCTCCTTTAAGTCTGCGGCACATCAAAAAGTATTTACGAATGAGGTCTTTACACTCTGTGGATAACCTACATGATCACAAATAAAGTGTAACGAGAACGAATTCATTGGAAAGACTTTTTAAAAGGGATTGAGGAAAGCTTACTTGACGTCAATATTGCTTGCAATGGAGATGAACTATTATTTTCATTGATTACCAACATATAATTATATAATCTATAAAATGCAACTAATAGCTAACACTTTACCTGATGAAGATCATCAAAGGATAAACCAAATTGACTCCTTTCAGGGTTTAACCCTTCTTTGTCAAGTAAATAGTCCACTAATAAACCATTAGTTTCAGAATCAACACATTCTTTAAGGTATGTAACTAGATCAAATGTACTACGTTTCGAATTGAAGGAATATTTGAATCAAAAATAAATAAATAACAAATAATTTATTTATAATTTTTATATACTGACTCAATGATTGGCTTAATCGGGTCATTACAGACAGACTACAAAAAAAAAAAAAAAAAAAGTAAATTATAAGTTGTAAAAGATAAGCCATTTATACTCTAGTGATGCTCACATCAATTCCTTCATCATCTGCCGTTCTAAGGTTAATACCCTTTCCAATAGGTTTTGCAACAGACCATCCCCAACAACAAGTATTTGCATTGATTCTCAACTTATGATAGCGATTTTGTGTTGATAAACTTGAACTTTTGCTCATGACTAGAAAAACGTATAAATGCAGTTAGAATATAAAGTTTTCGTACTTGTATGAAACATATATATATATATATATGCGTATATGCTTACCCAGTCGTAGTGACTCTACGTCTCGTTTATTCAAAGAATCCAAATTTACCATGAGGATGCCACCCTGAGACCTTGCAAGTATATTGGCTGAGTTAACAGGAAAACAAAAATGATGAGTTAAAGTTCAATCTATCATAATAAATACATTTCCATAGAGTTGCTTACATTCAATATAGTTTTCCTTTGTTGTGCCGTTCCCGTTCTGAATTATAAAAAGTGGTTGTTTCTTTTGGCCATTGCCATATGTCCATTCCTCGTTCCTGTATTAAAAAGTCAAATAATCATTTAAATCGCAATGTATGTACGTTTTAAGTAGATAATATTTAACAAAAAAAAAACCTTTTCAACTTTGATACATGTCTTATCATTTTAGGAATGACCGAATTGTATCCACCGCTGATAATCATGATATGAACGCTTGGTGAGATGCAATGCTTTGTTTGTTTCTCAGAAAGGGCAACTAGACTTGATTTTATATAAATTTCATTATTATTAAACATGTACGAAATTCATATTTAACAATGATTAAAATTATAGTAATGTATGAAATAAATACCTTAATAATAGAAATAGCTTGATTTTTCTATAGGTAAAACGTGGAACAATATCTTCTATAAAAAACAAATATTTAATTTATATAGCCTAACAAACAGATTATGTATTCGTATATTATCAAGTACCACAAAATACATCTACAAGTCTTTGCGTGAATCCCCAAGCTGACAGGTTTACTATTGGAAGTCAGAAATTGAATAAATAGACATCAAATAAAAAAAAACATTAATTTAAATTCACTTTCATACTCACATTTTTTAAGATTATTAATGTAATTTGGGAGAACAAATGGACATTGCTCATCGTTAAACGAATATGAATGAGCAGAGATCACTTCGTTCTATAATTAAAGTAACTGATGAGAAATAATATTGAAGTGAGAATTTTGCAGATATAATAAAATAATTACCATAGTGACTTTTTTAATATTATTAACCTAGATTAAATATAAAACCTTGACATTATTATAAAAGAAAAGATTTCTAAAAAATAATAAACATTCATAAAATATACCTCGACATGCAAGCCATTATCATACCATAATTTGCTGCAAAATCTAGAATCTACTTTCACATTAATTTCTGAACAATTTGCTTATACTATTCCAATTAACAATACATACCATCTAACCCAGGAAAATGTCTTCCAACTAAACCAATAACTTCAACTACATGACCTATTTCAACAGAATTTACTAAATCATCTAAAATATATATGTAGTTTTTTTTTGCATGTTTTTTTATACATAAAGATTTTTCGAAACAAAAAAAAAGCCGGATTGCAGGGCCATTTTTTAAAATTGTACGTATGTTATGAGAACAAAAAAATTAGCTTTGTATGGCTTTATTCAAATTATTGTATAAAAAATTATATAAAATAATGTATACCTTGCAGAACTGCAATTATTGAATTGCAAAATGGACCCTTATTTTCAGTTGACTTTATGCATGAAATACGGATGCATTGCCTTGCTGAAAATAATATTGTACATTATATCAATAAAGATTGCATAGGTAAACGCGTACACGTAAAAGTAGCGCTTACTCGTGTATACACGGTCAACTACCATTTCTTTCATTTCATTACCACAATAACCACAATTTAAATCAATATCATGTAAAGTTGTACTATAAATTTTAAATTGAATAAATTTTAAATTGACATTGATAATATTGGCTTTAGAGACAAACTAATTCAATAACCAAATTTATGCAAGGACTAAGCATTACCTCGTACTTGTCTGAGAATACTCTCCAGCTTCAGTGCGCTTAATAACACGATTTATCCGAGCACTTGGCACTACGTGCAAATAAGTCTTATTGCAGCACTCTACATTTTCACACTTGAAAGTGCGACTGAATCTAAAATAACAAGATATTCCCTCATGTTGCATTCTGACAAAATTATAAACGAGAATACTGGAATATCAAATATATGATACTGCTTACATAATAAAGGTGGGCATCCATAAACATTCGACAATTCCTCGAAAAACGGCAAATAGAGGATCTTGACGATGGCGTGTTTTATCAAACACGTCAGATATTAATTCCATCCGATATCTTTTATGAACAAACGAACATAACATATTGATCACAATTATGAAAGCATACACTTTTATGATTGCATTACTTACTCTGGCAATTCTGGTAAATATTCTAGCCGGATTTTACATCGAACTTGCTCGGCCATTAGAATGTCATCAGAACCTAATATAGATTGAATGATTGCCGTACATCCTGTTGTGATATCACCTTCAAGATTCGACGCGACAAAATCATTAAGAAGGTCATTGCCAAGTATGGCTAATACATATATACATATATGATGACAAAAGTTAGTTTCTAAAATTGTCAAATTGTAATATATATATATATATCAACGTACAATCAAATTCCAATAGAATTTCTGGATCAATATGCAATAGAATATCATATCTATTAATATTTGACTTTAGCTATTATATTAAAAAGAGAGTATGATATTTGTTAGATGTTTGAAGAAAGACAATGTATTGACTTTCTGCATACCTGGGACTTTTTCACGAGAGCTTGTGTTTTAGCATTTTGAATTGCTTGCATATGATATCTTCTTAAATCTACTCAAATCAGAAAAATATATTAGTTTTTATTGAATTCACAATTACATTGATGTAAACATACATAAATCGATTTTTTCAAACTTTGGCAAATCTTTTTGTTCAATTGGCAACAAATGTCGATCCGATGAATGAACTCGGGATAGCCGAAGTAATGATTCATTCTGTGAAATCGCGTAGACACCAATATTAGAATAATTTCAGAAATTATAAAGAACAACAATTTTAAAGCACCAATAACATACATTTGCTTTGACATCAAAGACTGGTCGTTGTGATGACTGCAGCTTTCTCGTAACATTCTTATTTACATCACCCATAACAAAATGCTGAAGATTTGAAGAATTATGACCTTGGCCTTCCACTTTTATTTTTATAACGTTTCCGTTTCCCGGAAGTGTTTTTTTATTACCCGTTTCCATTAATTTATATGGTACTACTATACTAAGTCGCGAACTAACAATTATACAGTATTTATATATATTACAAGATCTCTACTAGGCCAGTGCAGTGATACGATCCAAAGTTTATAATATGTTAACTATTGACCGATTAATGGACCAGTTAAAACTTTTATAAATCAACCCGTTGGTTTTAGAAAGAAAATTAGCTATATAGTTATGGTTTTAAATTTATGCATCTCAAATTACGTAAATATGAAACTGTATGTTTTTATTACTTTAATTTATATCGGGGCCGTCATTTTAATGACAGGTTATATCAATCCCAGATCATGTGGAGCGGAACAGATTGAAAATCTGAAAAGTTGCATTTGAATTTTACCAACAACTCATAATACTTAAGAATATCTTAAGAATATCTATAGAAATCGTAATGATAATAAAAAAAAAGCTTTAAAAACTATATATTCTGTGCAAACAAAACAAAAATTTCTATTATGAACTAAAAAAAAAAAGATTAGTAAATAGCCAGATTATGTGATTATCACGCAACAGGGGGAACCGTCACATCATTTGTAGATCTGTTACACAATTCATAAAAATTTTTTTTATATTGTTTTAAAGTAC